TTATGATCTCTGATATAGAATGCATATTTTGAGTCTCTGAAATAGAAGATTGCAAAGTGTTCATATCTTTGACAGTTTGAACACTGTGTTTGAGCTTTGAGATTCATTCTTGAGTCTTTGTATTCATGAACTCTCATTTTCAAATCTACTACTCTTACTTCAGAGATCTTTGACTGTTTAAGTATTTTTATATATATAAGAATAGAGACATTTCTCCTGCTTTATCTGAACTCAATTGAATTTAGTTATACAGGCTTCTTTCTCAGTTGAATAGAGTTGTATTCTTTCAATTCATTTTTAAAAAGTAGCATTTCTTCTTCACAGTCAAAAATTTCAACTGAAATATTATAAAGAATGAATTTGTCTCACTTTTCATCTCTTTCAGATAGAATTATTGTATTTAGTAAAGATTCTACTACTGACTTTCAGAGATTCTTATTCTGAATAAGAAATTCAGCACTGAATTCAGATATTGTAGTCAGAATAATGAAGTTTTCAAAGAATGATAACTCAATTGAAGCTATAACTGATTTTTAAACTTCAATATTATTTATTAACTGAGAAAAGAACTACTGATTAATTTCATTTCTGATTCTGAAAATGAGATTTGAGTTTAGCTTGTTTCTTTGCAGAATATTCTGATTTGAGACTTTGAGAATAAGTCATCTATTTCTGAAGATTTGAAAGTTTTTCTCTTTTTACATTTTCTTTTTCACTTTTCTATGAATAGAGATATGAGTAGTATTCTTCTCAGTTTTCTCAGAATTTTAAACAGATTTTGAGATAGCAGATTTAGAGATAGCAGATTCAGCTACTTGAGTATATATTTTCTTCTGATTCAAAGAAGAAGAAGAAGTAGGAAAAAAAGAAGAAGAGTAAGATAAAGAGTCAGTGATTATACTAGAAATTTTCAATATTTTTTAAACTGTGTTTGAAATTCCAAGTTTAAACTTGATTATCTTCTGTAGTTATCTAGTCTGAGCATGAAGAATTAATAGAACTTCTTTATTCATCTCACTCAGACACTGCTTTTCAAGAATCTTGCTTACTTTTTTAAGTTTCTGTATTTCAAGAACTTATTATTTCTCTATTTCTTCTTTCTTTCTTCTCTTCAGAATTTCAATCTCAGAAATAGCATTTGAGAAAGCATCTTTTTTCACATCAACTGAGTGTATTTTTAAACTCATTATTTTCACTCAATGAAAAGTTGATCAGATTATTTCAATTGAGACATTTCTAAGTCTGTTTTCAATTGAAAAGTTGATCAGACTGTTTCAAAAGAAGAATAAAAGACTTTTATATATAAAACATCTGATTTTTTCACACTAGTTCAGTAACTAGATTAGATTTTTGAAGAGAATCTAATAAATTAAAATTGATTTTTAAGATAAATCAATAAAATCTTTATAATCTCTTTCTTGAGATACAGTGAGAAAGAGTATGATATCAATTGATAATAAATCAGATAATATGACAGTTTTTGAGAGAAAAACTGACAAAAAATAAATCAATTTTTTGTAGAGAAATTGATTAAAACTATTTAATTTTATTCTAAATTATTCAATTCTTCTCACACAACAAGTGTGCAACTCAAATCAGTTAGTAAAGAGTGTAAAAAGAAATTAAGTATTAATAAAAGCACTTCAGTCACTGAAAAAGTAATTCTTACTTAAAAGAATATAAAATTATAACAGAAAATAGCTCTGTTTTTAATTCTTTGTAAGAATATTATATAAAACTCAGAGAAAAATTCCTTACTTTTTCAAGAGAAGTAAAAAACTATTTCTAAGATCTTTTTTTTTACATTAACTGCTGTAGAAGAATGAGATAGAAACTGCTAAGATATGCACTACTATATACTCTCTATCAAGACTTTCTCTCTTCAGAGTCTTGATATTATAGAGAATATAAGTCTGTTTCTGTATAATAATATAAATATTGTCAGCAGAATGTAGAGAAACTGATTATTTATATCTCAAAATAGAAGACTTTATCAATGATTATATTAATATAGAGTTAATTCTCAAATTCAATAGAAACTCAGTTTTACTGTTCTCAATCTCTTACAGAATCTATTGAATATTGAGATATAAAACGT